ACGCAAAGGGCAACCAGGCCGCAAGTATTTAGTGCTTCCGCACGTAAACATCGTCGTACGACACGTTTCTGTTCAGCAGCTTAAAGTTCAACTTCACGTTCATCTTCAACATAGCTGAGATCCATCGGTTCCGGCCTATTAAAGACCGGACCACTCGTGGAGTTTGCTCTCGCACAGCTATAGTTGCACCCACTACAGCCAAGCCTGGCCGACTTGAAGTTAAGCTCCACATTAAGAAAAATTTAACGGCTTCTTCGAAAGTAGAAGGATGGAAATAAAATATACGGTTCTGGCAATGCCAGTACGAAGTCCTTATGTGAAGATAGTCACATAAACTACCTCTGGCAGAGGGTCAGACTGCATTGCGGCCATGAAAGTTAATAACTCTTAAACATTGTCCAAGAACTCATTCTTACCCTGACGGGTAGACAAGAAGCGTTACCGCACGCGGTAAGCTTGGTTGTGTGGTGAGAACACCTAAACCAATTGTGACTTAAGCAACTCCCATGTTAAAAAATGATAAGTCAACCTACGTGCTACGCTCAAGGCCCATTCTCTAGCTCTTCCATCGAGCTTGGAGATAGCTAGCATTTCCTGTTCATGGTCAAGCTTGATCAGGCCTGATCTCATGGCCATCTCAATCTCACGGATTCAGAGAATGAGGTTTTTACCCTCCTTACCGTAGTTCTTCTAAACTTCCACTCTAAGTGGACAAGGCCTAGCCTCTTCGTCTGGTACAGACACATAGCGTGCAGGCATAGCCGACGCTACTTGGTCTTGGACCTGCCCTAAAAGGGTCGCTTCGTACTGATGAAGCCTTCATCACGTGCATTTAGCACTTCAGGGCCTTGTGAAACAAGGAACTCCACGTCCTCTGGACCCAAAGATGCGGTCACCTCATCAAGCGCGACCTTTTGAGCATCAGAGAGGGGAGTAAGGTTTTTCATACTCACAGAGGATCAGTCTTATAGACTCAGGCGTAGATTGACTACAAGTGCTTCCAATTGTGGCTGAGCTACACAGCTCCTTAAGTCAGAGGAAGACTTAACGATGAACGAGCTACTTAGTTCTAAAGCACTAGACTCAATAAATCAACAAGCGTAAAGATTATGGTCCTTGTTCCAGGGGACCAAAGGATTCAGTGAATCGGCAGCACTTAGTGCTTAAGAGTACCTAGCGACCTCAAGGAGGTGTTGCTTGTTAGCGAGTGATGATGCGGCGACTTGTGCAGGGTGTATATTGCATATTTGCATTAGTTGTATTGTTCTTTGTCAGGTTTATATTGTGGGATGTTAGCGAAACGACAAGTCATCGGATTGGCTCAGTCGTTTGGGAAGAGGGATTCCACGCGGGTGAGTGCGGGTTCGATACCCGCCGTGAACAAGTTAATTGTGACTGACACTCACGACCTGGTGTTTGGGGTTCACCAGAACTGTGACCCGCCCGCAGTTACGTCCCCCACCCACGCAATCGTTTTCATTCTGCATATGACACAGCAGAGTTTTTACGAAAGGTATTTACGAGACGTAATTACCCAGGGATAGGTAAAACAGAAAGCGGTGGAGACAGGGCACGAAATAGGTGGCTGAGAGCCACCGGCTACTACTAGCCATTCGTTTTCGAAGCTAGGAACAATTTGAATACAACTCACTTTTCGGTTTTCATCCCCGGCCGTAAGCCATCTTCTTCTTCTCATCAGCTCCACAACCTGGTTAATTCTAACAGGTTATGAGCCCAAAGAACGACTCCGGTTTCAAGGTCGAGCCTTTCGACGGCTCGAACTATGGGTTGTGGAGTTACAAGATGAAGATGTACCTGATGTCGAAGAGGCTGTGGGGCGCGATTGCGGGCGATGAGACAACAAGTGAGGCCAAGGAACAGCAAGCCCACGCCGCGATCGTGCTGAATCTGAGCGATTCGCAGTTGATGCATGTCATCGACTCGGCCACCGCAAGAGAAGCGTGGGGACGTCTGGCGCGATTTCATCACAGTCATGACATGTCGAATCAACTTTGGCTGAAGGAAAAGTTCGCGTCGTTCAAGTATGCAGCATCACGAATGAGCGGTCATGTGATGGAGCTGGAGGACCTCGTGATGAAGATGAAGCGCGCGAACTGCGGTCCAAGTGAAGAGGACGTGTGTGCAGTACTGTTGCGGAGTCTACCTTCAAGCTTCGAGAGCTTGGTACAGGCATTCCGCATGTCCGTCGCAAGCTTCAGTTTCAGTGACCTCGTGAGCAAGTTGATCGCCGAAGAAGTGCGCCAGAATGAGGCTGCACGAGTAGAAGATGCAACGGCTCTCTACGCAGGCAAGAGGAATGGTAAGCAGTACCCGAAGAAGCAACAAGTACGGCGCGCGAAGGGACCATCAGGGACCTGCTACAACTGTGGCAAGGTCGGACACTACGCCAGAGATTGTCGCTCCGGTCGAGGGCCAAGGGAGCACCAGCCTGAGCAGTCGAATGTCGCGTTTAATGCTTGCGAAGGTTTCGCGAGCGACAGCTGGGTCATGGACAGTGGCGCGTCAGCACACATGTGCAAGGATCGAGATGCGTTCGAAGAGTACGAAGAAGTGCATCATGCGCGCAGTATTTCAAGCGCAAATAGCGACGTGAAGCTGAACGTCATTGGACATGGGACAGTGAAGCTGCGCGTCTGGACAGGGCATGCGTGGATCGACGCTCGCCTTGAGAACACACTTCACGTTCAAGATTTGTCCAAGAACCTGTTTTCGCTCACGGCTGCGGCAGCGCGCGGCATGACAGTGGAGATAACGCGCAACGAGTGCGTGGTGAAGCGAGGCGGCAAACCCGTCGCAACAGGAAGGAAGCAGGGGTTCCTCCTGTATCTCAATGCTGACTATGGTACGGAGTGCCACATGGCCGAAGACGATACAGAGCTATGGCATAGAAGACTGGGTCACGTGTCGTATGGTACGCTGAATGCCATGGTCAAGGACGGAAGGATCAAGGGCGCAACGATGAAGACGAACGTTGCGTGTGACGTATGCGCAACGTCAAAGCAAGTGCGCAAGTCATTCAAGACAAGTGAAGAAGACGCTGAAACCAGGGAGGGTTCGCGTTCCGACGTGGTGGTGTGCTCCGACGTTCTTGGACCTATCACGCCAGCGTCCAAGTCTGGTTTCAGTTACGCCGTAACCTTCATCATGATGAAGAGCAGGTATGTAACGGTCTATCCGTTGCGAAAAAAGAGCGACGTTGCGAGTGCGTTCAAGCGGGTTTACCAAGATGTCAAGACAGCATCTGGAACGAAGATAAAGGTATTGCGAAGTGGCAACGGCGGCGAATACCGGAACGAAATGATGAACAGCTTTTGCAAGGCAAAGTTCATTAAGCAAGAGTTCACGGTTCCGTACAATCCAGAGCAGAACGGGATGGCGGAGCGGATGAACCGCACGCTGGTGGAGATGACGCGCTGTATGCTCAAGGAAAGCGGCCTCGACAAGTCCTATTGGTGCGAGGCACTAATGATAGCGGCAGACATCAGAAACATTCTGCCGAACGCGTCGAACAAGAACTCAAGCCCACACGAAATGGTGTTCAAGAAGGTTCCGCGCATAGATCACATGCGCGTGTTTGGTGCGCAATGCTATGCGCATGTGGCGAAGGAGAAGAGGAAGAAGCTGGACGACTCAGGCGTGCGATGTTTCTTTCTCGTCTATGCGAAGGACCAAAAGGCGTATCGGCTACTTAACGCGGACGATGGCTCGATCGTGATTTCAAGAAGCGTCACATTCGCTGAGCATCATGTCTCGAAAGCATCGAAAAGCAGAGACACTCGGGTGTTCGATGTCATTGAAGAAGAGGAAAGTGTAGAGGCGTCGCTACCCGATGATGAAGACATACCAGCGTCGGTGACCGAAGAAGAGCTGCGCACCCCACCACTTCGAGCGCAGAACAGCTCTCATCCCGGAACAAGTGATCGACCAAGCGACACCATTCCTACGCGCGCATCCAGCACACCCGGAAGAAATGGAGAAGAAGAGTGGATGGTGCGACCGGTTCGGAAGAATCGCGGCGTGGTTCGCTACGAACAAGAATTTCCAAGCCATCGTCGCGGTCGCTTCAATTTGGACGACTACGAAGGTGACTTCGACTCTTTCTACTGTTTCTCGGCTGAAGAAGATGGGGAACAAGCGTCCAGCTATCAAGAAGTAATGAAGAGCAATTACAAGAAGCAGTGGCTGCAGGCAATGAAGAGCGAGATAAAGTCGCTTGAAGAACACAGCACATGGAAGCTTGTGGACATGCCACCGGGCAAGAAGGCCGTAGGCTGCAAGTGGGTCTTCAAGATTAAACGCGATCCAAGTGGGAAGATCATCAAGTTCAAGGCACGCTTGGTTGCGAAAGGGTTCACGCAGCGTCCTGGCATCGACTACAACGAGACCTTTGCACCAGTGGCGCGCAAGGAATCTATCAACACAGTGTTGGCGATCGCTGCAGCTGAAGACCTGGAAGCAGAAAACGTTGATGTCGACACAGCGTTTCTCTACGGCGAAGTGGAAGAGGAGATCTACATGGACCAACCTGACGGTTTTGAAGATGAAAGAAGCCCGAAAAAGAAGTGTTTGCTGCAGAAGGCGCTATACGGGACGAAGCAAGCGGCGCGGCAGTGGAACAACAAGTTGAGTCAGCACTTGGTTGATCAAGGATTCAAGAGCAGTACAGCGGACCCGTGTGTGTTCGTTCGAGTGACAAGAGAGGAGTACAGCATCATCGTGATCTACGTGGACGACTTGATGATTTTCTGCAAGACGAAGGAGCACATCGCAAGTATCAAGAACTCATTGATGGAAGATTTCAGCATGAAAGATCTTAAAGATCTCAAGTATTCTTCGGGATCGAGATTCATCGCAAGCGCGAAGATGGAACGATCAAGATGAACCAGAAGGCATACATCAAGCGACTTTCGGAGAAGTTCGGTGTTGAGAACTGCAAGGACGTGCACACGCCGGCGGAAAGTAACTCGAAGCTGATCAAGATGGGTCAAGAGGAAGCGTTTGTACCAAAATACCCATACCGTGAGCTGGTGGGCGCGTTTATGTACATCGCCACATGTACACGACCGGACATTGCGCATGCGGTTGGCGAAGTTGCGAAGTTTTGCGAGCGCTACGACAAGTCGCATTGGACAGCAGCAAAGCGGATTCTCAAGTATCTGAAGACGACTCAAGACTTAAGCATCGTTTTCAGCGGCATCAACAAGGGAGAGCTGATCGAATTCGCGGATGCAAACTGGGCTGGCGACCTCGACACGCGGCGTTCGACAACAGGATACGTTTTCTTTCTGAACGGAAGCGTTATATCGTGGAATTCGAGGCGTCCCAACAATGGCCGCGACCTCAAGTACTGAAGCAGAGTACATGAGTCTGTACAGCGCGACGTAGGAAGCAATTTGGCTTCGAGGTCTGCTTAAGGACCTGAACTACTGTGCCAAGAACGCAACGACGATTTTTCAAGACAATCAAGGTTGCATCGCGCTGGCCAAGAATCCTGTGTACCACTCGCGCACGAAGCACATCGACATCAAGTTTCACTTTTTGCGTGAAAAGGTTGCAAGTGCAGTGATCGCGCTAGAGTTCAAGCCGACAGAAGAAATGGTCGCGGATGGATTCACCAAGGCACTTCCAAGAGACAAGCACAGCAAGTTCATCACGGGTCTGTGCATGGCGGTGTAGGGCGCCCTCGTCGCACGCACATCAAGGGAGAGTGTTAGCGAGTGATGATGCGGCGACTTGTGCAGGGTGTATATTGCATATTTGCATTAGTTGTATTGTTTTTTGTCAGGTTTATATTGTGGGATGTTAGCGAAACGACAAGTCATCGGATTGGCTCAGTCGTTTGGGAAGAGGGATTCCACGCGGGTGAGTGCGGGTTCGATACCCGCCGTGAACAAGTTAATTGTGACTGACACTCACGACCTGGTGTTTGGGGTTCACCAGAACTGTGACCCGCCCGCAGTTACGTCCCCCACCCACGCAATCGTTTTCATTCTGCATATGACACAGCAGAGTTTTTACGAAAGGTATTTACGAGACGTAATTACCCAGGGATAGGTAAAACAGAAAGCGGTGGAGACAGGGCACGAAATAGGTGGCTGAGAGCCACCGGCTACTACTAGCCATTCGTTTTCGAAGCTAGGAACAATTTGAATACAACTCACTTTTCGGTTTTCATCCCCGGCCGTAAGCCATCTTCTTCTCAGCATCAGCTCCACAACCTAGTTAATTCTAACATTGCTGACTCTTAGTGATCAGTGATCAACGACCAAAGACGCCTCGGAAGGCACGTGTCTTTAAGATCAAAAGGGGAACCGAATTTTATTTGCGTTTAAACCTATAGAATATCTTAATCCTAATCTAGACACTTATGTCCTAAGTCAGTACAACTAAGATCTCTCCTATCTGGTGGCTGGCACCAGTCAGCCCCTATATACCGATAAGATATTCTAAATATCTTTCAGTGGGAAATCATCCGTGTATCTAAAACACAGGGTACCACGTACACTACTACGTGTGATGCCTTTCTAGTTAGGCTTAGGCCAACATGTGACTAGATACCGGGTGGTGAATGCTAATGTGTGTAAGTTTGTTATCTTTCGAGGATAGTGTAGAGCGTATAGGCATATAGATATGAACCATATGGCGCAATCGACTTTGGGAAAGCCGCACGGGTGCCGTAAAGCTTACTGCATGATAAAGCACGTTTTTGTCCATAGAATGCGCTATATAGTACGAAGCAAAGGTTTTAATGAACAGATATGTCGAAGCTCCCTTGTGATCTTTTTATAAAGTGTCGAAAGAAATGTTCAGTTTTGTGAATACTCCTTCTCTCATACGTGGCTATAGAAGACGAATGGCAGGAACTGCGGTGAGCTTTTCTGTGCGATGTGCAGTTGAAAGTTTTCCGTTAATATAGAAAACTTTGCAACAACAAATGGAGAAGAAGCGTCGCAAAATTGCAAGTCTGCATGTACTGTTTTCAGGTGTTAAACACTGCTCCAAAGCCAATAACTTTTTATCGTGCAAACAGCCCACTCATTGACAATGTCGATTTATAGTTTTGGCATGGATGATAATGATGGTGATGATAGGCATGCGTGCACATCGCTAGCAGGTGAAAACTATTACGATCGGGATGAAGAACTACCGATTCTGTTTTTGCTTTTATGTACCATGTAATTTACTTGCTCAATTGCATGTCAAGAGCAATACACATGTCCAAATCAGGTTGAATTCGACAAACCCTGTGTCTCGGTAAGGATGAAAGACGCGCCGGACATAAGGCTGTATTATAGATCAAATCAACAGCACCAGCAACGATACCTCAGCCGGCCGCGCAATCATCGCGAAAATCAAAATTAGAGTGCGATCGAATTTCGACTAAGTTAGACCTTGTCATTGGAAATAGTCCATTCGGGTGGCGGAGAACGCTACAATATTTATGTTAAGGACTAAGTGCAGCAGCACCCATAACCACCATTTCTGACACATTCACAAACCCCCAATTACAGCAGTAACAGAAGCGACCTGCTTGTGAAGATGAGCAGCAACAACTTATCCAAGCTGAGCAGCCGGGGCTACAGAGCAATGATAGCGCGAAGTGTACATGGATTGATCAAGTCCTACTATTGTTTTTTTGATGCTTACATGACTGGATTTAGCAAGCAAGCCGTGACAAGCAAGAGCTCGATACGCCGACTCTCATGTACCATGCTCCGCTGATCGTTTTTTTTGCGTAGAACGTGCAAAATTCAACGAAATTTCAGTGCTTCCCCAGAACTTTTTTCCGAACATTATTGCGCTCGACGACTTGTATCAGAATTCCCTGATGGATGTGAGTGCGCTCAATACAACTGAATCGGATGTTGCTATCGAGTTTTCAAGCATGCGCTTCATGACGTGATCCATAACGACAACTCAGCGCGGCTTTTTTAGAGTCTTCAGAAGACTGCAATGAAGATTAAACACTCTAATTAATGTATTAAAACAGGTTGAGGGAGTTTATGCGCTAGTCAATTAAACGCCTGCGCTACACCTATTTCGAGTGAAGATCACGTTAAGGAAACAAAAGCTCAAGAATTTTAGATCTTGACTTTTTGGGGCTCGTCTCCTCTTTTTACGGGGTCACTCATAAGACTCTAGAGATCCAGTACACAAATTGATCATATAAACTTGGTGCAAAACAGGATAACAGCTGCTTCGAAAATCGCGTTGAATTGCAATGAATGTCGTTTGAAGTAATTGCTTTTTCTTGGACAAACCACTATCAAAAAACGACATTCAGTGCAATTCAACGCGATTCAGTGAAGATCTGTCGCCCGTATAGGTAGCTGATTGTCGATATAAGCGTGCTATCTTTCAAACTAAAAAGGCATTATATGCACGACTTTCACTTACTTGTCAGGGAACGCCAGCACACGATAAGCGTGCATACCCTAGATTGTTTAAGTGCTATAATTTCGAGTAGACAGTTGTGTGGTGCGATTGTAATTCTTAAAAAGTTGAGCAAATTCCTTATCCGACCTAATAATTTTGAAGGTGAATGTAGAGCCTTCGAATTTGTTTTCTGTACCTGATAATACCTTTATGGTCGCATTTTTCTCCTCTGAGGCTCGTTCAATAGTTTCAAAAATCCACCAAATTATATCTAAATGTTATTCTTAAAGTCAGGAATTGTAAAGTCGCCCAGGGCACCAATCACTTTCTGCTTTTCCTTCTTTTGCAGACTTAAATTTAAGATAAGGTTGAAGAAGCTGTTCTAAGGGAGAATGTTTGGTATCCTGGGTGTTCATAACGTGTTCCCGGAAAAATCTCGTAATTACGGCGTCGGATTTTTTATTCGTGGGCTTGAGTAATCTTGTGTTTATCAATGCTTTTGGGTGGCCTTAAGCTTAGAATTTAAGAGGATCTATAATCAGGAAGAGGTCATTATCATGCTTAAAAGCTTCGCTGCGCGTATGAGGAGGTTAGTCACCAGTTCAGGTCTCTAACAAACAGAAATAGGTTGTATGCTGCATTCGGGACATCCTTCATTTTACAAAGCTCATAAATCTTACGATGAAGGTAGCGTTTACAAGGCAGGCCATAATTTGGTTAGAAGGTTCCTGTAAATTCTTTATTGCTGTCGTAATTATTCGAAACAGTGAGAATAACCTGCTTGCTCTACATTCTTAGCGCTGCATGAGATACTTTGCACTTTAGTACATCAGACGCAGCTTTCGCAGAGTTAGTGGTTACCCTCCCGGTATGTGCAATAACGCTACTTAAATGCTCATTTCTTTTAGTTAATTATGACATTGTGGAACTCGCCCACAACATGTAAAAGTGACCATTGGAGATAAACGAAAGCCGGATCTTTACATCATAGTAAGTGAGCACTAAACACGAGAAGTCACATCTGCAACCGGGTCCCGTTACATGATATTGACACCTGACGTCGTCAATAGGGAGATATCAAGCGTGATAATTACCTGCCAGTATTACCCGAGATGAATAAAAAATTGAAGAAATATTTTTCCCTTAGTATCATATTCATGCGTGGCTCAAATACTGGTTGGTAAAAGACATGTCAACCATAGATTAACACCAATCGCTGCTAGACGAGCAATGAGTGGTGAGCAGGTTGTCGTCATACGACGACGTAGTCTAAAAAAAGTCAGATATTGATTAAAGTTATTTATTTCCTTTACTACATTAATGATAATTCTCTTTTTACCCTTTACTTGGCTTAGTTGTTGAGTAGACTAGCTTACTCTGCACGTACGAGTGTACATGAAGTTTCGTGGCACCCCAACAAAGGGTTCCCCGTTACATCTGGTAGTACTTTGTATTCTGTCCAACGACTGCATAATGCCCGTCCAACATGTTCATGTCGGACGTAGAAGACGACAGCTTTTACGTCACACATGAATGCTACTCCCTTTTGAGTACTCATAATTGGAGGTAGTCGGTCGCATGAGTGTGCTTATGGGCGAACCGCCATCAGTGGTATGATGGAGCCTCTAAGCAGAGACCAGCAACATACTGCTATCAACAAGTTCCTACAAGGGGAACCTGCCGTAAAAAACCGAAGATAGCCTTGCTTTACCAGCAAGGCTCTTATCAGTCGTTGGGCGGGCTGACACACACACGTCGACCCGAAACCTTGAAGATAGATATCGCAATGTGTAACGGAACCGATGAAGATCCCCTTGTGAGATGGTTCGTCGAGCTGGACGACGCTATAAAGGCCCGTCGCACTGAGAATAACGAGATGCGAGTCACCTTCGCCCTGTCAAATTTGACAGGACGAGTAAAGACTTGGGCCTTAGGAATCAAGCTTCACTACTCAAACGTGTTGTTGGATCGACTTAAAGAGACGTATGATCCGCGAAGAGCCGAGTCCAGAGCACGCTCTGCACTCCTACAGCTCAAACAAGGTAAGCGTGATGTGCACGCTTATGCACAACACTTACGCTATCTTGCGAGTAGCGTCATGAAATCCCCTGGTGGTGAGCACACACTCATCAACGTGTTCATCTACGGTCTTGTAGATGGAACGGTGAAGACCTACATGTTTCGAAAGTACTTTCGTACGCTGCAAAAGACGATAGCTTATGCAGAACAAGAATACTTTAGCCTCAAAAGTCTCAGGCTATCTCATCAAACTATCTTCTGACTAGACGACAAAAAACGGGGTCCCGAGCCGATGGACCTCTGTTATATCGAGAGCGAGAAGTCTCGCTCACTTAGTCTCAAGCGATCGGCAAGATGCCATCGCTGCCCGAAGATCGGACACTACGCTCATGAATGAAGTGTCCCAAGCATCGCATCACGTCCAAAGACAGGACGCGATAACCGCCGTTGGCCGAGGAATGGTACGAGGCGTGGGTCGGACCATGTCGCTAAACCGCGACAGAAAGTTGGATTTTTAAAAGCGGTCAGGGTCAGTAAGGGTGGAGCACCCTGCTGATCCAGCAACGTCAAGAGATTTTGCAGGACGTTTGACAAAGATTGCTCCGAAAACACAGTCGCTGTGTTACTGCCCCTAGTAATGAGTCGTCCCTCATCACTTTGAAGATCGAAGTGACAAGTAGAATGTCACTTCGCGTCCTAGTTGACTGTGGGGCGTCGAACAGTTTCATTCGACGCCAGTCGCTAGAGGATAGTGGGCTGCTCAACTGTGTAGCGAGAGTTCCCTCCAACGAGGATGGCGGTGTGCCTTGCTACAGGTGCGTCCGTAACAGTGAACAAACGTGTAGTGGGAACCCACTACGCGCTAGAAGGAAAACAGTACGATGATGACTTCATCGTACTAGATTTGGATGAAAAATTGGATTTCATCCTTGGTCTGCCATGGCTTAGAAGGTACCAGCCATGGATCAGCTGGCAGCACCGATCCGTAAATATACCAGTCGTTTGTTCATCGGATGGCCATCTGATGAATGTCTTGAAGCGTCCACAAGTATATGGATGTACTACGAGTGAGTGCGATGACCTCAATTGTGGTACGGGCGTTTGTACGATTGCACAAGATCACAGTGTAGAAGGCCACTACACTGTGTAACCAGCTTCTGGAACCTGTGTAGAGACACAAGCTGCGCCGAAGGTTCACCACTAGAAGAGATCGAGTGGACTGGAACACGGATCACAAGGGTGCATCCGAGAAGAGAGATTATTGTTGTTCAGGATAAACAACACGTTGAGCTAGGTCGGCTAATAGAGAGTCGATCGTAGAGCAAGCCCGATTGACTTAAAGAAGTCGATCGAAGAGGACGTGACCGTGATAGAACACGTAACGGAAGAAAATGTCGGCGTTCCGGAGAGTGATAACTTTTGAGAGAGTTATGTCAAGGGTGTGGATCCCTAACCACCTGCGGATGTGCTTTCTTAGGAAATCACCGAGTCAGTGAATATCTTGGTGAATGACGGATCAAGTGTAGGCGCTTATACACTTGATCTAGTTACGCCCCCGAGGTCAGCTTCGAAGGTAGTCAAGATGCCAACGCTCGAACATAAAAGATTCTTGCGAGATGTGCGTAGCGACAAGATCAAGCAGATCTTCGTACTCGTCACAGAGGACGAGTACGTCGCCGATATTCGGTCGGCACAAGTGTTTGCTGAGAACGAACGGGTTCTCAGTAGCTCATCGATGGACGAGAGTGTCCTCGATGAGAAGATCCGGATTGAGCGATACACGTCTCAAATTGGGAGTATTTGAAGATAAATCCTTTGTATAAGGATTTGGTAAAATTCAGGGATGTTTCCCTGTATCCATGCCACGCGATCTGCCTAAGGACAAAGACACTCGGCATGAGATCGAACTGACACTCGGGGTTTGAAGTACTGTGTCATAAAGCAGTGGCCACCGCTCTGTGAACAGGTAATAGCGATCGACAAATTCTTTGTCATCTCTTATGGCTGGTCGTGTGAGAATTCAAAACATCCTTACACAGCTCTCCGACCTTCTGTGTGCGCATATCCACAGGATGGTGGCGGAAAATGCACGCGTTCAAAAATTGAATGCTGCAACGGTTCCGGCCTGAACGCCGATCCCAAGAAAGGATGTCATCATAGATGGTATGGCAAAAAGTCCCATCATTTTGTCCATGAATATGATGGATAAATTCTATCAGATCCTCATGCGTGAACGGGATATCCCTTACACAGCAGTGAGAACCCCCATTGGTATGCTCTGGGAGTGGCTTGTAATGCCACAGGGGCTAAGTAACGCCCCTGCAACGTTTAACAGATGTGTTACAAATCTGTTGCGATCGGTGCGAGATTTTGGACCGATTTACTTCGACGACCTCTTCGTCAATAATCGAGCTATGGATGGAAAGACGGACGTGGAGGCTCATAGAATCCACGTCCGAAAGGTTCTTACACTAATGCGAGAGCATAAGTTGTTCGAGAACCTCAAGAAGTGTATATTCGCAGCGAACGAATTACCACTTCTTGGCTGCATCGTGGGTAAAAATGGTGTACGCCCTGATCCGGAAAAGATCAAGGCGATCAGCGACTGGCCTGTTCCAGTCGACGTCAAGGGACTTCAAAAGTTCCTTGGCTTGGCGGCGTACTTGCGCAAGTACTCGCGCAACTACGCCGAGATGACCGTACATCCCTCTCGTCTGTTAAAGAAAAACACGAGGTGGTCATGGAGTGCTGAGTGTCAGCACTCTTTTAGAGGTGACAAGAAAAGCTTGGTGCAATCACCTGTGTTGGCGATTGCAGATCAGGATAGGACATTTCATGTGGTCTGTGACGCCAGCGATTTTGCAATCGGCTGCGCGTTAATACAGTACGACTCAGACAAAGTTGAGCGCGTCGTCTGTCATCAATCGCGTCAGCTGCAAGCAGCTGAGCGTAATTACCTAGTGCATGATTAGGAAATCCTTATTATGAAATATGCACTGGCTAAGTTTCGGGTATATATCATAAGAGATAGGCCCTTCATCATTTATACCGACCATGCGTCGTTACGCACGGCCGTAAACAGTCCACACCTCTCGCAACGAATGGCGAGGTGGCCGTCCTTCTTCGCGGAGTACAACTTCTCCGTCAAGTACAAACCAGGACGGCTTAATACCATCGCTGATCCTATTTCGCGTCGGCCCGTTTTCGAGCCGACTACCCAACCCAACAGTAGGGATGATCCTACTGTTGTGACATTATCAGTGAGTGTTTTGTCGTCGAATCTACTCGACGACGTGGGTAAAGCAAAAAATTAATCTCTTCTGCTGTTAATGGATTACGTATCGAATCCATGCAGTCAAGCTTTGAAGAGCTCATCGTCTCAATATCGCTCTTCAACCGAACGGTATTCGGTTCGTGATGGACCGCTGTACTTTACAGCATTCAACGGTGACACACCTCCTTTTGTCGTTCCGGCTCATGATGATTTACAATTTTGCATCATGTATGAGTGTCATGATGCCCCAAACAGTAGGCATCGCGGTAGAAAAAAGATTTACCTCACGGTAAGTCGTAAATTTTCTGGCCTTGCCAGTATGAGTTTGTGCGCAAGTACATTCGCGCTTGCGAAGTTTGCCAACGACTGAAGCCTAGTCCTTCATCACGTGCACCCTTACAACCTCTACCAATTCCGGCAGAGTGCTGGCAGTCCGTATCGATGGACTTCGTCTTCGGGTTTCCCAATGACGCTCACAAGAATACTGGTATTCTTGTGTTTGTCGATAGGTTCAGCAAGATGGTACATCTTGTGTTTGTTGATAGGTTCAGCAAGACGGTACATCTTGTTGCTGTTCCAGATTCCATCACAGCCCAGGTCTGTACTCGAGTCTTCATCCATACCATCTTTCACTTCACGGGTTACTCCGTGAACTTGTGTCTGACAGGGACCCCGCTTCATAGCGGAGTTCTGGCAATCTGTGTTCCGTTCTCTTGGAACACACCTAACAATGTCGACTTCTGACCATCCTAAAACAGACGGTCAGGCAGAACGAGCACACAGCGTCTTTAAAGAGATGTTTCGAGGGTATTTCCACTCGTTTACGAGTTGGAGTGAATTCTTGCCGATGGAGGAATTCGCCATCAACAACTCGGTGCATGCGTCTACATCGCATACACCGTTCTTCGTGGTTGGTCTACGTCATCCACGTGTAACCGCCTTCTTAGAGTGTATCTCTCATCTAAAGGGGAGGGAGTGACCCGCTAGACCAAAATTGATCTGGTTCTTGCTCATCACACGACGACAGTGATGTCGACGTTGTTGATGCTGATGTCGATCACATTGACATCGATGATAATGATGACGACGATGCTGGAATATTCAGCATCTCTAACGACTGCTACAGTGAGGAAGATGACGCACTAACTGATGAAGGCAACGTTCTTTCAGTAGTGCACACGAAGCGCACTGCTGTTAACAAGGATGCATCAGCAGTGGAATTTCTGCTGACTCGCGAAGCGGTTGTCCGTTTCTCTCAATACTCTATTGATGTAACGGGGTGAATCGTTACATAACAATTTATAAGAAATTGTTAATAGAATATAACTATAAGAGTTATATTCTCAGAATATTGTCATAAGGACAAATATTCTGTAGCACTTACGACTAGTTCCTAATTGGTTGATGTAGGCCATTGTATCAACCAACGAAGACGCGCCACGACAGACGCACGCAATGAGTGGTGAGCAGATAGTTAATGTACACATTTGTATTCGGACATACTTAGATGAGGATAAACAGTGATTTATTGCAGACATTAACTATGCTAAATACAGTTCTACTTTTTACTTTAACCAAGTACTCGCTTCTCCTTACCGTCTTCCTCTGCACGTACCAGTGTACGTGAAGTTCCGAGGCACCGCCTTATTCTGTCATCAGAATAAGTAGCTTGTACTGTCATCAGTACAAGCTTCAGGGTGCCCCGTTACAATTGAAGACGCAATGGGCAAGCAGAAAAGAAACACAGACAACATGGAAGAGCGATTGCTCTTTCATTTGATAAAGATGGCCTAGTTTTACTGTCAACAGTAAATCTACCAAAACACGCAGTGAAAAACGTGGGCAGCAGTAAATTATAATACGAGTATGTCGGTCCATTTCGTGTCTTTTTACGCGTGGGCAACGTATGCAAGATTAAACTGCCTTTTAGGATGCGCATGCATCCTGAGTTTTTCGTTGGACGTCTCCGCCCGTACTATAAGTACGATCCCGATTCGAGATGCGAAAAACACCTCCACGGTCGAGAGCCGAGACAACCTTTGAGTGGTCCCGTTTCAACGAGCTATTCTGGTCGACTAGCGAAGCGACCTGTTCACGCAGCTCACCGATGTCTCGACGAGATGCAGCCAGCTCGCCACGAAAAGAACGAGTCAAACGTTCGTTCTCAACGTTGCGCAAGCGTAAAGCGGCACGATCTTTCGAACGATCGTGAGCTAAGGAATTGTAACTGTTCTTCACAAGATCATGAAGCTCATAACGCCAAGTCCTTTCAAGAGCCAAGTCGTCGTGAGACTGATCTTTTTCGAGGCTCAGTTCCTGGACATCAAGCTGATCCGACCCTCGAGCCGGGTCAGCTGTTCCCGCCCCCACCACATCCTTTGGTGGATTCTGGCGGTGTTCAAAGTTTTCTGGTGGAGGACATTTAAAGCACTGCGATGTGAAGACGTCCGGACGAGTTACCTCGTCCGCTGGCGTGATTACCCACAGGCCTAAGACAGCCGGGGGGCCTCATTGTCCATGTCCTGGGTCTCGTCAAGCAATAGGACGACTAACCCGCTGCTTTTGAAGAAGGGCCGTCAAAAAACGACCTCCCCGAACGCGAGTAAATGGATTGCAAAGTATCAATCCCTTTGTCCATCTCAGAAGAGATGCGTGCCCTCCTTTAGGATACATCAGGGAGGTAGGCCTCCCTAGGGGAACGATTAGCATAGTCCAGACAACCTAGGTAAGGATTTCCCCACGAGAGACAGGGTAACCCCGCCTCTCTTGACAGTCGATGCAAATTGTATCGTACACCGATTGTGCTGCGTTTTTCACGCCTGATGCGAGCTGCATCAAGTTGACCGATCCAGGCCTCGCGGCCAAAGCACTCGATGTTGGGGAGAAGGGCATTCCATCCCTGCACCAAGGCTTTATCATCTCGAACACAATTTCTGTTGTACCACCGATGTTTAAAAACACATCGGTGAAAAACCCTTCCCGAGAACGGATAGTTTCCGCGCTGGGATTAGAAGAAAGATTCTCCTACATTCATACAGCGGGATTCTATCCCGTTCATTGTTCATACCGGCCACCCGATCTAACTCCTAAGATGATGGCATCCAAGGAGACCCCACTTGAGGAGAGTGGCGCAGTACAATTCGGTCCCTGGCCTCTTGAGTAGTGTCAGCATGAGCACTGACATCAGTGGTAGATCGATCCCTCGAGTTGCTTCTCTCGTGGTGATGCATAGGGGCATCACCACCATCACCACGCGTCCTATCGTCGGATGGACTTGCGTGAGACGAGGATTCGTTGGAACAATCGCTCGATCCGAAGATCTCGAGCATGATGCCGCCACGATGACCAATCCCAGTCAACCTGGCTCTTGCAGTGTCCGCCCCAAGTGATCCGGAAGCGTGAGGTGTCGCCTTCGAGTCGGATACCTCATCCGACTCGCTAGAATAGATAACCCCATATTAAGAATCATCTGGATTTCGATTTGCGGTAACCGCTGCAGACGCAGCGGATGTATTTATCGCACGTGGTGACTCACCACATGGACTATTCAAAGTAGTTACCTCCTGTTGCCGAATCGCAACAGCGGGCGAAGGATCACCTGCTGCTGACGCAAAGAAGAAATCAATTCGGCTGCACACATGCGTGCAACCGCCTTTCTTGCTGCTTAGGCAGCACACAGCATAGACTTTGACACCAAGCGATCAATTGGTAAGTGAGTTAAAATTTGACCAACAAGTGCTCTCCTTCTCAGAGCATTCCAACGGTTTTCATCCTGTCCCAATCAATTCTTTCAATCGACGAATGATTGATGGTTAAGGGGGGGCGATGTGATGGGGTAGCCCGGTACATGATATCGACACCAAACGGTGTCAATAGGGAGATTGTCTAGCGTGACAATCCCCTGCCAATATTATCCGAGATAGGTAAACTTGAAGGAATATTTTCTTCTTTTCGGACAGTATTCGTGCGTTGCTCAAAGATTGATTGATATAAGACATATCAACCAAGGTCACCACCAATCGCTGCTAGACGCGCGCAATGAGTGGTGAGTAGGTTGTCGTCATACGACAATGTAGAATAACATAGTTAGATAAATACGGAATGTATATACTGATAGCCTACTTCTATTGAATACAATTTTCTTTTTACCTTTATTCAAACTAGCAGTTTTAACTGATTATATTTCTCTCCTCTTACGATTGTACGTGAAGTTTAGTGGAGCCAATAACAAATGGGGCCCCGTTACAATATCAAACCAATAAAAATGATATGTTTGCAGAGCACTACGCCCACTTCTAAAAACTACCCGATAGATCGTTTTCAAGTTATATAATTAGCTCAAAGCATGCGGCTTGGACCTTCAGCATAGTGTTTAAATACTTCCAGAATAGGTATTTTTGTCGTGGGAGATAAGACATGCTAAAGTGACATGAATTTTAGTCCGGTCATCTTCGATCCTAGCTTTATAGGCACTAATTGACCCACATTACAAGAAGTCTCAACAGCCTTCTTCACGAAGTTTTCGTTAACGTTATCAATACATCGCTTCTGTCGAATGCTGAAGAAACCTTCGTTAGCGATGAATTAAGAAAATCATAATAATTTGTACCGAAGGATTGCATAAAAAGTGATTTCTATATAGGAATTTCGCATTGCGCGCGAATCCAGGTGTAATGGACGTAGACCTCTCCGCTTAAATTAACGCACGAGATTTCAGTGACTTTCTTGTGATACTTCTCACCAATCACATGCAACAGCGACATTAAAAATTCGTTTACCTTGTGTGTTGCATCGATCTAAATGACGTCTGTGTTCTAATTTAGCAACTGGAAGCTGTATGAATGTACAAAGAACAGGTGTCGAACGCGATTTTGAGTGTCAAGTTCACTCTATAACAGTACGTTATTGATTAATCGTTTCTTTATGTTGCTCGCCTATTTACAATAAGTCTACGAGTTATTAATCATGTCTACTTCCCGCAAGATAGTTTCGTCGGAGCTTTCAAATTTCTTCGATAATAGTTCTAAGCTGGATGTTGACGTTAGCGGCGAGGAGGTCATATAAATTTTCCTAATATTGTAACGCTGCTTCCACTGTGGTTTGCTTCAAGCTTAGGTGTAATCATGGCACTTAATTCTGCGTAAAAGAGAGCCTGCCATTATCGCACTCTTGTGGTTTTAGTATTGTAACAAGACACCCTTTGTGTGGGGTGTCATAAAAATTTACGTACACTCGTAAGAGAAGAGAAAGATAATCAGTTAAAACTGCTAGTTTGAATAAAGGTAAAAAGAAAATTGTATTCAATAGAAGTAGGCTATCAGTATATACATTCCGTATTTATCTAACTATGTTATTCTACATTGTCGTATGACGACAACCTACTCACCATTCATTGCGCGCGTCTAGCAGCGATTGGTGGTGACCTTGGTTGATATGTCTTATATCAATCAATCTTTGAGCAACGCACGAATGCTGTCCGAAAAGGGGAAAATATTCCTTCAAGTTTACCTATCTCGGATAATATTGGCAGGGGATTGTCACGCTAGACAATCTCCCTGTTGACACCGTTTGGTGTCGATATGATGTAACGGGCTACCCAGTTACAGGTATGATACAACGACTTCAAATTTCACCCATGTTCTGCTGTAGAATCATCTTTTGTGCGAATATGGCCTACCTCCTGTTTGCCTCCAGTCATTTTGGATTGACCCCTGTGCTTGACTTTGCTAGGGGCGACCGGTTTACACCACAAGTAGACTGCAGACTGAAGAAAGTGACAAGGCAGGGTTCCTTATTTCTTCATCGAAGGCTTAGTGCGATATAAATCTTGACGGAACACGCAAAGCCAGTATCTAAGAATGCGAAATTACAGGCATCTTTGACTTCATTATGGTCATAGAGAAATAAACGTGGTGGAGAGGGGTCGTTCCGAGGTATCCAGCGAGTTAGAGAATTCTTGTGGTCCAAATTTGGACGACATGGCTTCCAGAGGCAACAAATTGTGCCGAATCTGGTGTGACATAATATTTTGGAGGGTGAGGTCGTCGCCGGTGCAGTCGTAAAGGGTGAGGCAGTCTCTCCCGCCTGAAAGCGTTGTCAGTGGTGTGCTCTTAAATACGCTTTGCACCACAAGGAATCTCACCGAGATGATACACCATTTGTGTTACGGTGCACCGGTCGCTCGTACTGTCACAGTAAAAGCTACATACACAGAATACATAGTGAGGTCGTGCCTCGAGACTTCACGTACCTGCGTCGGTGCAGAGGAAGGATTTAACACGACAGAAGGATAAAGGTAGAACTGCATGCAGCATAGTTAATTTGTTGCCAATAAATCCTGATCAGTCTTCGTTTGACAGTATTAAGATACAAACATGTATTGTAACTATCTGCTGACTTCTCATTGCGTATTTCCTGTCGTGGCCCAGTTTTATTGGTTGACACCGTTAACATATGTCAACCAACGAGCAGTGTATCACTTCTGTAACACATTATTACTTATTTTGTCAATATTGTGAGAATAATCTCGTTGTCCCAACAGAATATTCGTACTTGACATTTGCCTTGTGTGAACTTTCATGTAAAGAAGGCATCCCGTTGCAGTTAAAATTGCCGCAGTCGGTTCTACAATCGATAAGTACTATGTAATAATTGACGTGGGGAATAGTGATAGCAGTTGAGTCGCAAATACGATAAATTTGGAGTGTGCGATCGTGCAGGGAACTTTTGCTAGTGCCTGGAGTGGCTTTTGCAAACGTGCTTCTTTTGGCGAGGGATTTACCAAAAATAACCTCTAGAAAAATGGTCATTGGCGTCGTTACATCATGACTGTGAACACCTGTTACTTTTAACCCTGTACGAAAAAGAAAGACCCAGCCGATAAAAACCAACCTAGCTGAGTAGCATTTGCCTTTTTTAAGAAAAATGTATAGCGGACGCATGTGCGCCCCCCGTACCAGAGGGAGTCGAACGATCGGGGGCAGCAAAAATCATGATTCGTACAATGCCCTCGTTAATAATCGGACATCCACGTTTATAGGCTATAGCGACCAGTCCGATCTCAACGAGATCGTCCAACCATTCAGGACACAATCCCGATGTCTTGAAAATCTCGTGGACACGGTGCGATTATTGACGAACGTTTAAAGCCAAAGGGCTCCATTCGAACAGTACAAACCTCGCGATTTCCACATTGCCATCTGAATCAGCTCTCATTGATTCATGCCCTAGGACACTGGGGCATTGTTAGGCCATCCATTTCCCAGTCTCGGCCCCCATCGGTTTCGAATGCCTGGACGTTTGGCCATCACGTGCTCATAGCTGTACCATCGGAGGAGGAGAAGCCCGTGACGCTGCACAGAAACGTCGGTCGTGGAGTCTCTATGGTCGTTGACGAAACTCGGGAGATGTCTACAACTTTGTCGACGCTTCGGCTCCAAATCAGATGGAAATGCTCAAGCTTCCATCGGTTCCCACAAGATCGCGGGCGATCTTGCAGTCATCACGACCACACACACACTCGATGTCTCGAGCGCCCCCACTCTGTCGTCAGGAACTGGACCAGTGGCCAGCACCACAAATGGCTCTGCTCCAGCCGTACGTGAATGGACCAGGTGGAAGCTCTTTGGCCGGCAGTTTAGCCATTGTAAGTGCACTTGAGCGGCTCGTCGCTCTACTGCACGTATGGTGTTGCTCCCTCATCCAAGACCACTGACAACGGATGTCACGACTCGGAGATGTATTAAACCTCCTGGAGCAGGAACTTGATCGGGTATTGTCGAGCAAATGGGACAAGATGAACGCGCACTCGAAATTTCTAGATCGGTTGGCATTCTTTCGCTTGCTTCGTATCATGGTCAAGCTCGCTAGCCAATGTCATCGAGGCTGCGTTGGTCAAATAAACGAACAAAGCCGTGTCAACAGGCAGAGGCCACTCACGGCACACGACTCAGAAGTGGACCGCATGTTCATGGGAGTGGGATCACCACCAAGTTGAAATAGGACGTTGTGTGAAAAGTGGAGCGAACGCACTTTAGCTGTCCATTGACGTGCCAGTCTCCTGTTACTGCAGCGCAGCAACCTGCTGTCCTCTTGAGATCATCCAAGCTCCACTCGTGACGTTTGGACAGTAATGACAAGTGTACATGGGCTGAACGAACAATCGACCTCTTCGACATGCCACGTTTCAGGTCTTTTGTTCCATTCGTGCGCACACAGAAGTTCTCACCGTGCAGCCCTGTCGGTCCATCTCGCCCGCTTCTTTTTGAACTTTTCGGCGCGCTATGAGGTGCACGATATGTTTATCAGTCCAAGTCTTCCATCGTTGGTCTAAGCCTTCTATTTGGCGGCAAGAGTGAGAGATCGACTCCGAGCACCGCTTTATGTCCACGGCGTTCTCGCGACGTTCTGCTTGTTCAGCTTGATGGTGGATCCGGATTCCTTGTCGGTTTTACGTCTGCAGCCCTAATTCCGTCTTTCGCGGTGCAACATCTTGTTATCGATGGGATCAAGGTCACGTTGTTCGGTCAACTCAACTGCTTGAAGAATTTATGGGGCTGGGCTAAACAACTGTGCCAAAGCACAATGGCGCATACAAGGACCGCGTCACTTTCTTGGCTAGTCTCTGGATCCGGGTGTGATCGCATGGAACGCAGCATGCCAATGGCGCCGCGCGCTTCGCGCTCGTGGTTGCTTGCAGAAGTAGCGCTTGCAGGACAAAGCAATGGTCATTTTCAGCCGTTGGACGTGTATCTGCAGGCTTGTGCAAGAGCTGAAGACATTATTCGACTGGTGACGACTCCGCGCCATTACGACGTGAACGAGGACCTCGGAGCGCAATGCGCATGCAGACCGCAGACATCCATGACCAAACTGTGGGAGAGGGGCGTATGTGCAAACACCACGTCAACATATCAGGAAGTGCTGATTCCAAGATGAAGACTGAGAGGGCGTTGTAGGGGTCAAGAGCTTCCACTGTCTGACTGAAACATTGATGCAAGTTGTGTCCCGGGTGTAGCTTTGACACTTATGATGCCCTGCAGTTTCCAGCTCTTGCATTGATTAGCAACAGCACATAACGGAGCCAATGATAGTATCTATCCGGCTAGTTTTATCTAGTGACCAGGGGCGTTTCTTCACACTGTCGATCACATGCTGAAACTACTTAAAGGCATGTCCTTCGCTGTGCGAGGTTGTCAGCGTTTTTGAATATCCAGTGAGGAGCCAGAACGTGAAGCAATCGCTTCGATTCCTTAGTTGCTTGCTTGACCTTGCCATGTCTGCGCATCAAAGGAGGGTTTTTAAAGAAAGTGTAAGGATCAAGACATTTACAATAGCTGGACGTTCGTCGCGGTCGTCAATACATACGTTGTTCGACTATTAGAGCAAAGTTAGTTAGACCGACATGAAGGGAATGATCTATTGCAACTAAACTAGTAATCAAACAGATACTTCCCTTCCTTCCCTTCCTTCTTCTTACTAGTTTGGCCATACTGTACCGATATCGGATCGACAGCTCCCTCTGGTAACCTCAAGACCTTTCGATTGACGTCTGCTTTTGTATACCCCAATGATCGCCACTTATCGAACTGCACTTCTTCCAATATACGGGCCATTGGTTTGGAGAAGCTCAACACGTTCCATGGGAAATTACCCTTCTGAAGGATACTGCGCTGAATCATCCTTGCCAATACTTCGGGGGTGAGTGCACGCTCGAGTACATTGAACGGCGCAAACGCCGCATACATTTTGCCAGTCTTCTTTGCGTGATGATACCACGTCCTGAGCTTGCGACTCGACAGAAACGCTGTCACCTCTTCCTTTACGAACTCGCCGTTCTTGAAAGTTGGCATCTTCAGATTCAAACGTACGAAAGCCTCTGTGACACGTTGCTCCACACCCAACAACTCGTTCGGTGGAGTCGGTAGATGCATAAGCCTTTCTTCTTCCGAGTCTCTCTTTTCGTCTGTGCTGCCTCTTAGCAGCCTCCCGGTAGTGTGGCGCTGGTCCTCAAGTACGCCAAGTGCCGCAGGATCCGGTTCTGCAGAAGCCAAGGCGAAAGCAGCAGATACTAGCAGCGCACTACTGACGAGGCCTGCGGAGAGATACAACCTCATGAATAGAGGATGCAGATTTTGTCCTCAGTTTCAAGGCGCAAAACGAGAAGTGAACTGATTGTTTGGCTCTGGCCAGGAGTTTAGCTGGAGACGTGACCACCGTCGTCTGATGTACCGATCCCCATCCCACGAGCCAAATTTTCCACCAAATTTTGTGCCTTAAATGCGGGCGAGCTGAAGTCACCATCCCATCTATCCTGCTCTCATGCACTGTATAGCTAGAGCATGATCAGCTTCATTACCGTGTGACGGGTTATTATCGGACCACCCAGGTTATTAATTTAGAGCATGTGGAGGATGTTTCTTTACAAGATTGGCCCGATGTCGGGACCACAAATATGTTGCAGCTTGTAAGGGGCATCAGTTGAGACAGTATCAGTCGAAGCAGACTCGACCGTTCGATACCACCAAATCAGATTCGACTTACATTATACGCGTCTTGTTTCACGAGCGTCTCACGACAAATGACTTGAAGTGAGACACGAGGGTACGACCGTGTGAAAGAAGCGGCACCTTCATCGCGGGATGAGACAGCGTATCGCTCTAAGATGTTCCGAACTGCTGTCTGCTTGCGTTCATCACTCCGCTACTTCGTGGATGTCGGACGTTCTATGATCAGTGTGCACCACAAAAGCCAGTACCCATTCGAGTAAAGAAGCAACTGCCTTGTTCGATTATAGGTCCAAGCCTTTACCCGATGGTCATCCATTGGAAAGTAGCCTCAACCCGACGGTTATCCATTAGAGAGTATGCGTGGCTACAGTTCTCGCGCCTTGTCGAACGAGATTCAGACACGCCTGGAGTACAATTTTGTAATTTGACGCGACGCGTGTTTAAGTCAAATACTGCGTCGCTTTCTTGTAACAGAAGATAAATCACGCAGGCAATCGTACCGCAAAACGAAGTGCACCATCGCGTCGGTAACTTCACGTTTATGCCGGAGCTGAGTTGGACCAATTTCTGTTAACTATAAAAACCTCCGGTGTAGTTCAGAACGTAAGCCGCGTGACAATAACCCTGTACAAGCCTATCGTTCTAGCACCCTCATTGTAGCAGTGGGAAGGATAGACGCCTGGAGGTTACAATCGAACCCGGTTCGGGAACGCTGGCGAAAGCAGTCCAACAAAGACCTTTTTTCGCGGATGATTGAGCGACGAGCTTGCTATAATCGTTTCGTTTGGTGGTCGCACGCGCAGCTGCTGATGGACTAATACGTACCAGTCATTTCCATTCCTTGCACTCGGATTGGCGCTTACACGCGTTTGTAAACTGAATGGGCTCAAGCTGCGTAGTTTTGAGAGTGGGGCTTCTCTATTGAGTAAGAAAGTACTGGTGTAGAAAGAAGGCATCCGAAATCTGTCGAGATTGAACTGGACGAAACAGGTCCGATATAGCTGATTTACACCACGCTATGCTCATACATGCAGTGTAAGACAAACTGAGCCTCGGGAACAATACAGCGACAGGCACGTGCGGCGGCAGGATTCCAGGCAGACAGACAGACAGACACAATGCGACGCGTGCAATCGTGACATGATTCGACCACACCTCAGGTCCTTGACAAAACCTGGGAGAATAAACACACTCATGCTTCATGACACCTTTACCCGGCTTATTAACACGCCTCGCGTCCACTTGTATCCCGGTTACTAGTTTGCGCTGGGTCATATTACGTACATGATTACGCGCGATTATCATGTAGGTATCTCTATTTCCCAAGTGTACGATGGTAATTGGGTAGCACAGCAACGAATGCTCGAGGTACATTTGATGGCACTTGCCCTTCGCAATTTTGAGGTGCCAATGTTTACGGTCTTCTTCGACTTAACGCTCTTGCGTAGTCGAAGCTTAAGACATGTGAACCCACGCAAGTAGTAGATGCTGGAGTACCCTCATTTGTCAAGCCTAGTTCCTGTCATCTTTTTCATTATCTGAATATTCGATGAAGCATCTAGTGTGCCAGCTAGAATGATGCCTCACAATCTTTTTCTGTTCGGCGGGTGGATAAACTTGAATCTGTCTGGAACCGGTTCGGCCACTTGACTGCATACAGTAGATTAGCGTGATCTTGCAACGACTGACATTGCACAAGTATTCGCTGACATTCATATGTATCAAAAAGAAAACCTTCGAGATTCGGATGTACTTCTCTATGCGATGATGAAGATAGAAATGTATTCGATGTGGACAAACGGTTGATAAAGCATCAGTCATGATCACCCAATTGCAACCTTAGGCAAATTGGGCACAGTAAAAGTATGAGTTGTTGTTTAGCCACACTTTGATCATTCATTCCGTTCTTTCGTACTGACGCACCTTCATGATCTCGTTCAGCCAAATTTGAAACGATGGCTGATGTCGTTTGAGCAAAAACCTCAGCCATTGGTCATGTCTTGCCTATATATCTCATACCTGTGATCCGTTATGAATGCAGTCAATGCCTCGAAGGTTTTCAAATGTCTGCAGAGCCCATATACTCGACGCCATCAAGGAGATTGAAGTTGACGTCGGAGGGACGCTACAGACATGCAATTACGACTTTAGATAGCGCATCGATCGTAGTCACGGGTGGACAATAGCTAACTTTTTATGTCCCCATCGTCCATCGGCTGCAGCTATGTATTTTAAAGATTGACGCCGGTGACGTTAGTGGAGATGTCCGTGTAATCAACTCGAGTCTCCATTATCGACCACGCCACTATTTTATTTTTATAACAATCAACAGTTGTCCAATCACTGTAGTACCTGTTCAGGCTAATTTCTAGGCCACGACTAGGGGCATACCCCACTTTTGCCACGGACACACCCACCCTGTAGTAGGGTACCCTTTGTTTGGATGCCACAAAACCTCACGTGCACTAGTACGTGCAGGGGGAGATACATGTACTTAAACGACTCGTTTAAGTAAAGGTGTGAAGAGAATTGTATTTAATATAGTAAAGCTATCAATATAACTTGAGTCTTAATCTAACTAAATTAATCTACATTGTCTTATGACGACAACCTGTGCACCACCCATTACGTGCGTCTAGCAGCGATTGGTTGTAATCTTGGTTAATTTAAATCAATATCAACTAATCTTCGAGCAGTACGTGATTGTTAGCTCTAGGGATAATATTCCTTCAATATCACACCTATCTCGGGTAGTATTGGCAGGGGATTGTGACGTCGACAAATCCCTATTGACACCGTTTGGTGTCAATATCACGTAGCGGACATCCCGTTATGCACCCATCTAAAATAATAGAAACAATCAAGAACACTACATTCCAAAGACAGACCAGCTGATCATTTGGGTGTTATGGAGAGATTACAATGCGCACGTCGATAGATGATAAAGCTACGTCGATAAATGCTTCATGCCCTAGACACCTTGCTTCACAATCCGCCACCAGCAACACTCCAAAAGGGAGTCATTCTTCTGACTCCTGCGGAGTAGTGAACTTGCAAATGTCTCGCCAGGTTTTATCCTGGTCCAGCTGTTCGCGAACCAGTTGCAGTGCTGATCGTGAATTGCACCGTGGTACCTAGATCATACATAAAAACGAAACGGACCTACATGCACAGTACAACCCTACAAGCTAAAATACTATTGACACAATAATGACAGCATGCTCAGTATTCGAACTTCTGTTACGAACGATGTACTAGATCAAATGGTATCGTTGCTGTCACGTCGGTAGAACCAGTGTTACAGTCGCTGAGGTTATGACTATTTTTGCTGGTCCCGCTACGACCGCAATTGTAGTAGACCTGTTGCAGACCCCGTCTCGTTTTCTTTACACTGGCTTAGGTTACCGCAAAACCGTTTAAGGCTGTTTCCATCTCGTTTCTCGAATGAAAGCTGGTTCCAACGAGAGCGGCAGGTGGTATGGAGCTGTTTTAGCGATAGTTGTCCCTCTCTCGGGCCTTTGTCTGCCGTGTGTACGGAGCTAGTGCGTATTTTTATCCGGTACTTTATGTCGTATTGTATGGGTGTAAGGATACTCAGAAACAATTATGCGGCCAAGATGGATTCTGGAACAATGTTCTTTTCCTTTTGCAGAAGAGACGGTTTCCTTACTAAGCTCCCCACCCCTTCGCTCAACAACTCCAGAATCTCAGATGGTGCATCTACATACAACTGTACTGTACACTTACATTGTCCTGCATTATTGCGAGCCCGAAGGGTGAAGCTGATAGTGACTGTGCGCAAGGTGAATGCCGAGCTTTTTAATCGTACTTATCTGTGTGTATCAGTTTTCGCCTGTCTGGAACTAACGCGGCTAGTTGTACCTCGTGCGAGCCAAGTGCGATCTAGCCTGTTCCCCCCCATAGGTATATTGGCACATCCGAAGTCACTCTATGGCTTAGTCACTAATCTTTTGCACCATTGAGATTGGCTCAAAATTGATCAAAAGTGAATATGATCACATTAGCAAATGCTGGACGCTTATAAGCAAAGGCTGATTGCGTTGCTTGAGTATACTGTATTGAATTTTACACGCATTAAACAACATCATACTCCTTCTTCAGTGACTGCTGTTGTAAGGTGTTTTGCAACTTGATGTAGTTCCCCAAACTAAATCAACATAATCAAAGGGCGAGCTCCAGAGCTTGCTCCCCTATTTTAAATTTTGATTGCATGTTATTTTTCAGACAGGTGGGTGACCCCCTGACAAAAATGGACTGCCCGTAGCAAAAGCGAAGTGTGTTTTCGTCGTGGCCTAATTTCTATTCTCGCCGTCTCTAGATTCTGAGCTCTGTAATCTTGAGTAGAGTTTGTATCATACGTCTGATACGTAGACTCTGCGGTCGCACATGCATCACTTGCGTCACGCTACGTAAATAACCAGAAGCTTGTTTGTTTATCGGGTTGAGCACAAAAAGAGAGTGTGAGAGAGGGGCTTGCTCGACTGTCGACTTACAGGACAGTGCCTAGAGAATTGTCTTTTTGACCCACTAAGTCATGACACAATCGTCTATGTGCGTAGATGCTTGCACTGGACACTGTGTCTAGATCGGGCACGAACCATACCGTAATACGCTGTTAGCGCACAAAGATCGCCGAGAGTCCGTTCGGTCGGACATACCGAACATGGGTTAAGCTGTGAGCTGGCGATCATGCAGATACGACATGGCATGTGGATAAAGATGGCTTCAACAAAGTACGGCTTGTCCATCTTTACAGACACTTGGAAGTGCGGTAGGTGGCTTCGACGATTACGTTTACTGGCTGTGAGTTGAAGAAGTGCCACTTGTTTATAGATTCTATGAAGCAAAGCGTGGCGCAACAGGCGTATTCCTCATTTGTGGCATCGCCCCATTATCGCAGAAGAGTGGCTAAGCTTAGGCAAGCTTCGATCCATGAGCTTTCATGGGTTTAATTTTTCGGTTATTAGAGACGACGAATGCGCTGCAAGCTGAAAAGTTAAACGCGCGTGGGTCATATGATGTAGCGGCGCAGTCCTACTAACGATTGTCGCAGTAAAGAATTGTAAGCTTCGTTGAGAGTGATAGTACTAACCAAGCGTACCATTTTTTTAAAAAGACCACACCGTCTGGGTTGGTTGTGACATCGCATTAGTCTCATGCAGCAAGTAAATGTCTCAAGGTGTAAATTCAAGTTCATAGCCCGGTGTCAGTACTGCAGCCATCGTTTATGAAGTTATTAGCAGGACGAAATCGATCATTAGAGCATGAACAATTTGCAATTTCTATTTATAGGCTTGCTTCATCAAGTGTGTCCACTGACAATGCATGCCACACTACCCACCTGAGTATGTTGAAGTCGTTGGAAGACTAGTTACTTATCGATTAGTATTCTCCTCTAAGCCGAATTCATCATTAGGTCATGGAGCGGACAATGATGGTGCTCTTAGAAAGTATTGTATTTGACGAGAATTGTCTGGCTCACTGGTGTTGCTTTATGCTTACCTGTTCATGCCAAAGCGTCTTGCGTTGTACCACATATGTACGCAATTGGAACTTGGGGTACGCGAAGAACTTTACTCGGTCTTACAATATCGACGCTCGCTGTGATCATAAACTCATCCCCGGCAAAAATCAACTTCCTCGTGGTAGTCCATCGTTTGTCAGCGCGTAGAGCATACTGCGGGAAGTGTGCAGATACTAAGGATCTGCTTCTACGTCGTCTTCGTCTTACAACCCGTCGTGCAAACAGCGGACAATCAACTCTAGATGCGCTCAGCGAGCTTAGTGAATGAATAAATATGCCAAGACAGAGAAATCTTGAGGCTGTTGGACATGACAAACTGGCTTATGCGGCTCGGTCACACAGCGTGAAGTGAGTAATTACAGAAGGGGGACAAGGTCGCGAGACATCACAAGTCACGGCAGCAGACATCACGGCTATCCGATAGTGCTCGTCGATCCCATACATCTCATATCGAGTATGGACGGATTGGAAAAAAATCTGCGCTAAAGCTGTTAATGGCTTGTCCCGGCATCTACTTCGTTACACAAGATAGAGTTGTGCTCGAAGAGCGAAGGGCCCTGAGTGCAGCTGCATGCAAATTCGTCACATTCCTGCAAGTCGCGGACTTGGAGGTGCGAAGTGCCCTTCATCTGCTACCCACATCGGTGTCAATAATGCAGATACCAGAAGAATCGCGTCACATTTTCTCACGTTATAGCACAAGTGCATCACGCCTCGATACACAGGCGAAGAAACCAAGCACACAGGTGCAGCCACCGCATTGACTGGTACCGCCTTCCTCAAATCCCTGCGCCGAGTTCCGAAAACAAAGCGTTGTCTCAGACGGGTGTCTCACCCGCAAGTGTGGTCCACCCACCCACTCACTCCGCTCGCACCCATTGATGCTTTTTCCGTCCAGGCAGCCAGCACGTTTGTCAGCATGGGCATCAAAGTGGGCGACCTCGTCCTGGCGTACCACGGCGTGTTGATCTACGACGCCAAAGTCCTGAAGGTCGACACGGGTCACGGCGTCCAAGAAGAGGCGCGTCAAGGGGTCCACATCACGGCCAGCACGCAGTTCTACGTCCACTACCAGGGCTGGGCCAAGAAATGGGACGAATGGGTGCGTTACGACCGCGTGCTTGAAGCCACGACCGCGAACCGGTTGCTGCAGCAACGGGCCAAAGAAGAACTTGCCGAGGCCAAGCAGAAGAAGAAGCGCGTGGACCGGAAGCGGACCTCGAGTCGGTCGCGAGCTGGAGCCGACGCGGCAGCGGCGGGGCGGCAGTCGCCGTTCAAGCGGCTGAAGCGCAACGTGGAGAAGGAGGTTGAGGAGATGCCGGACGAGGAAGCAGCGACGCTGGGCGGAAGCAGCAAGCAGGTGAGTCTCCAGATGCCCTTTTCGCTCAAGAAACAGCTCGTGGAGGACTGGAAACGCGTGACGCAAGCGCCGCATCAACTCGTGCCGTTGCCGAGGAAGCCTAATGTCCAACAGGTGAGAAGAGAGGGAGACAGAGTGTGTGTGTGTGTGTGTGTGGTGGTGGTGGAGGATTCACGAGTTTTGTGCGGTTGTGTGCTTGTCTTTGCTGTGTGGTGTGGTGATGGGCGGGTGATTGGTTCTTAGATAATCACGACGTACTTGGACGTGAAGCAGAGCAAGGTGCGAGCTGGAGAGGCGAGCGAAGAGAAGGAGTTCAAGAACGTGACGGGCGTCATGGAAGGCGTGCAGTCGTACTTTGACCGAGCCATGAGCTCGCTTCTGCTGTACCGCATCGAGCGTCGACAGTATCAGGAGCTACGACAGAAACAGACGGAGAATGTGCCGCTTTCGCAGATTTACGGCGCTGAGCATCTCATCCGTCTCTTTGGTACGTATCGAGTGACTGTGCAGCACCGAGAAAGCAAGAGAATTTTTATTGACAAGCTTGACACGCAATGACTGACACATGTGCTGCTGCTATTGTCGTGTCCAATTGACTCTCATTTTGTACAGTTCGTTTGCCCGTTCTGCTCGCAAGCTCGAGCGCTTCTCCGCGCGAGTTGGTGCAGATCCAGGCCCGGCTCAATGACTTTCTCAAGTTCCTTCAAAAGAACTCGGCCGCGTGGTTCCTCACGGAATACGAAGCTATGTCGGACAAGTACGTCGAGCTCGCTTTAGCCACGCAGTAATGAATTGAGCACCAACCCCGTTTGCGCGATCGGAGCTCTTGTTGTAGCCATCCCTGGCTGGCGATCTTGTCTGCTTCGAGTCGCACTTAGCTTCGACCGCACTTACGAAATCCTCTCAAGTCGTCGCCGTCGTCGTCGTGGTTGGCTGGCTGGCTGGCTGGCTGGCAATGGATGACTTGATTTGGAAAACCATCACTAGCTGGCAGGTCTGGACACTCGCACCCCTCGTTCTCTACGCATTTTTCCAGCTGCACCTGTTGCCCAAGCCAGCAGCTCAAGTCGCAGCCCGAGTGTTCTTTTACCCGACGTGGCCGCTCACGTACTTGTCGCGACGTCGGAACTACTGGACGCTGGTGGACTCGCATGTCCTGCTGGGAGCAGCACCTATGGCTTTTCTGCCTCATGTCGACGCTCTAGTTGCTCGTGGGGTTGGTGCAGTTGTCAATCTGTGTGATGAGTACGCAGGCCCTACGAACCAGTACAAGAGGCACCACATCCAGCAGCTTCGCCTGCCGACAATTGACCACTTTGAGCCGTCACTTGAGGCATTAACAGCGGCTGTTGCGTTCATCCAGATGCAGAAATAACGGCGAGTCAAGACGTACGTTCACTGCAAAGGAGGCACGGGACGCAGTGCCGCGGTGGCCTTGTGTTGGCTCGTAGCTGCTCGGAAAATGGACTCTCGGGAGGCACAGGAGTACCTGAATGGGAAACGCCGCGTGCGCAAGTCGCTTTACTTGCAGCCAAATGTCCGTGCGTTTTGCCACAAGATTCAGTCGATGAAGGAAGGGGACAAGCAGGATGGGTGACTCAAGACGTTAGATGGGGAACGGGTAACAACAACGAACGAGATGGGATGAATCCAAGGTCTGTCCTTTTGTCCTTGGACTTGTGTCGTGGCAAGTGCTGGTACTTGTGTCGTTTGTGGCGTGCAACCAGGGACATATACACGGGTTCGGAGATGCTCTTTCGCTCTCGTTTAGAGGTAAGACATCCATCGCAGCTTCGTCAATAGCACGTCAAAGTCGCGCGATCTGCCCAATCCGCTTGTCTTTAATGCCTAGCAACATGACCGAGCGCTGCATGGTACCCATTGCGTCGGAAGTCAGTGATATTTGAGGACTTCTTCTGACCTCACCTAGACACATCCAGGCTAATGGTCACACGAGTCAGATTACTTGCAATGTTGTTACTGATCGACCACAGACCTCCTCAACACTCATGCTTTTCGTTCCTCGCTCTCGCTAGTTCTCGTAGAAATTGCCAAATTTGTTGTACATCAACTCGCGATCATATTTATCCCGGGCGCTTTTGTCGGAGAGCACGTTGTAGGCGGCTGTCATCTCCTTGAACAAATCAGCATGCGACAACACCTTTGATTTATCTGCAAGTGTAAACTCAATAGCAAGTAAGCATCATTAGCAATCGAAAACAGCACGATTCTTGCCAATCAACCAGCATACCTGGATGATACACGAGCGCCAATTTGCGGTACGACCTCTTGACTTGGTCGCTCGTCGCTGTTTTATCAATACCAAGCACTTCGTAATGCGTGCGGTACTCGGTCTTCGTCGCCATAAATGAAGCCCGACTACTGGCACCTGACGACTGGGATTTACTGCTCCCACAATTGCTACGTCCGCCTCGCCTGTACCTGTCGTAAGGTCGGCTTTTACTCCGCGCCGCGTCTTCCCAGCAAGTTTGGCGCTGCTGCCGTTCTGCACGCTTCTTTGCCGCCTCTCGCTGTCTGGTTTCTTCGCGAGCTTTGGCAATAGCTGCTTTTGCCTCGTTACGTTCGCGACAAACATTGGCCATCACATCAACAGGAATGTCGCTTGATCGCTCGTGCAAATAACTGTCGAAGTCTTTCACTGCCTCGTGGTACACCTTTAATGCAACATGGCATCGTGCGCGACGGAGCATAGCACGGGAGAAATTTGACTTTCGTCGCAGTGCTTCGTTGCAATCAAGAATCGCAGTGTGATACCGTTGCAGCCCCATTTGGGCTGCTGAACGATTGCAGTATATAACTGTGCAGTACTCCAGGTGCTTTGGGTCAACATGTAAAGCTTCCGAGTAGCATCGTATGGCCTCCTGATACTGGCCTTCTTTATACCGTCGATTTCCGTCGAGCCTAAGCTGCTCCATATCGTGCCATTGCCGTTTCAATTGTATCACGAGCGAGCTGCAAGGAGCTACGACTTCCAAGGCGTTGAGTACCCGGACTGCGTCCTCAACTTTGTTTTGGTAGTGTAGCGAGGTCGCCCACAACAATCCTAGATCAATACCCACGATAGCGACCATGTCTACAGTTTCATCCTTGAGCGGTTTGGTGCTCATTCCACTCGCGCTCGCTGGACTTGGCAGCTTCGTCTGACTTGCTTGCTGTTTTTCGACGATAGAAGTACAAAACTTAACAATCAGATCCAGTTGCCTGTCAAAATCATCATCACCAAGCTTGCGTGAGATGACGACCGAGTAAAAATGAATAAGAAGCTACTAACCTTCGGTGAAGAAGAATACGAGCCTTTTCCACTTGTAGCTTCCGGTACATCGGCGCAAGTAATAGAGCGCTTTCGGTGTGCAAAAGAGCTTGCTTGAAGTTTTCACACTCAATGCTCGACTTAATCTCACCCTGTAGCATCGTCAATTCCTTAATCGTGCCTTCCGTCTTGACAACAGATACACGATCTATATGGTCACTGCTGCCTACTTCGTCGTCTTGCTTTTCCATCAGCTGCCTCGCTGTATCAATGTTCACCTTTGCATTGACAGTATCACCCAGTAAGACTTGAATGCGGCTTAGCCGAAGGTATGCGCGTGCATACGTCGCGTCCACCTCAATCGATCGCCGACATTCGCGCTGAGCTTCAGTGATCTGCATCAGCATCATAAGTGATGCCGCCCGGTTTGCGTGAAGTCTTGCCTTATCAGTTTGAATCTCCATTGTAAACGTGTCTGCATCACGATAAAGCTGTGAGTCTAGCAGCTCAATGCTTCGGCGGTAGTACTCGGCCGCATCTTCATATTTTCTTGAGCGATGGGCAACACCACCAAGACGCTTCAGTTCATACCAGCTAGGCTCATCGTCGCTATCCATTTCAGCATCACACTCCTCGGGTCCATTGTCAGTCAAAGTTGGGGCTGAGCTAGCACGCTCTTTGCTAACTTCAATACTCCGAACAGCGGCACGGAGAATGCGGCGGGATCCAGCATGAGCTGGGCATGTCTGGCATGTCCCACGATCGCCAGGTTGCTGGGTTTTCGGACGATCACTTGGCTTGTTCTGTTGAAAAACTGGTTGATGGATTGTGCCCCGGAGCTCCGAAGCAATCGGTTTGTTCTGCTGGGAATAGAAAGGGAACAAGCTGGAGTCACACATATTGCCTTGTTGTCGAGTCGGTTCACCATCAACACTACCAACTGAAGGCTTAGTGGTGAATGGAAATGCTGACGTTGCTGTCGGTTTATCAGCAACAGCATAACGTTCTCCATCTGATGGAGACGAAAGGTTCCGAAAGTTGTGTGCGGCGAGCGGATCGACTCCGGAGGTATGTCCGGACTTCCGTGGATCGGCGATTCCGATTGAAGATGGCGTCGATGAGGACGAGCAGGAAAAGCTGGGGGACCGCACAGGCTTGGTGGCATCTTTTTTGGCATCCTTCCTTGGACTGTACTTGTGAGCCAACGTTCCGTTTTTCCTCGGCCGCACTCGCGATTTCCTTTGCGCACTGACACTACCAATCTGGAAACTACAACCAGTATTCAAAGCAGACACACTTTTGGCCGACTGCTCGGAGTGATGAAAATATGGTACCTCTGTCTGCGCGCCAGTCTCTGCTTTTCCAGATCCAGGTACAAAACAATGAATAGCCGGTCTACGTTCTGCATGCTCAGAGTGGACTGAACTAAAATCTTCACTCGCCCCAGATGAAGATGATGCAGAGCGTGAAAATGTATCTGGACCCGTCTTGGCCTTTAGGTCTTTCGGCGCATATGATCCACACGTGTTCGCGGCAAACGGATTCGTTGAGATGTTAGCTGGGGTCGTAGTACTCAATTGCACCCGACTGTCACGCGTGTAGTCACCCGTACGTGTTGAGTCATTTCGTTGGTAAATGGCTGTCGGCTGTGTAGAGGAGGACTTGAACGATGATAATGAAGCAACAAAATGGGAGCTAGACGAAGCGCTGAACGGGGGCGGTCTAATGACTGAACTCGAGCTCGCTTTTTTCCGACGAGACAAATCGTGACGAAACATGCTATTTTTTGCAACTCCAGGAGCAAATGATGCAGGAGGTGCTGTAAACTCGCTGCTGACGTCGGTCTGACAGAGTTTAAAGTCACCAACAAAACCTTTTGTCCCTCCACATGCTCCTGACGCTTTTGTCGATGCTTTACTGTTGTAGGCAGAACCCACCGAATTAGTTGCGTGAAACAAGTCGCTGCTCTCTTTTTTAGCAAAAGCAACCGGTTTGCGATTCTTGTACGCTTGTCCAAACAAAAATGTACCGCTTGTCGGGGTACGACTAGCACTATTGGTGCGTGGGCTTGAGCTACGCACAGAAGTGTTACATTCGGTATCAGGAATCCCCGACTCCTGCGCCGATACTTTGGCTGGTTTAATGTCATCAATTCCAATAAAGCTGTTAGGCTGCAGAGGTTTAACACGCTTTTTCAGCGTGAAGTCGTTATCCACAGCATCGGACGATGCAGCGGCAGAACGCATCGGGATTGGACTGCTCGTGTTCGAAAAATTACTTGTCTCTCCCTTTGCAGCCTCTGTCTTCATGTAGGCTGGTGGTACGTGCTTCCCAAACGTAAATTCTGGCGTTGGAACACACGTCTGCTTGACGCCAAATGTGAGGTCTGACTTCTCCACGTGTGGCCCCGGTAGCTTCGAGATTGTGTCATCACCTGCCAATGACGTCTTCTCAGTCTGCACCTCCACATTTGCAGATGTGTGGTCCATCGTGAACGCGGGAGTAGCAGAACAAAACCTCGTGTTTCGATCCTGTTCTTCATTGAATATCTTCGGAAACCTCGGAGCGACGCCAGTCGAGTGATGCCGAGCCGTCGTGCCTGATAAAGTATGTCGTCTTCGTGATGACGTATCCTTCTTCCCCGCCACTCCAAGAGTAAATGCTGCTTCGGCTCTCCATGGTCCCTTCCCCAAGTCAACGACACTGCTCCCTCTTGAATTCAACTCGAGACCCCTTTGAGTCTGCTGTTCACCATGCACTTCTCCGCCATCTACTTTCTGCTGCTCGACATCATCATATTCCCCAGTCACCTCCACCGTACGTCTCGTGAATGCAGTGTCGTTGAAAGCTGCTTGCAAGTCCCCCCACGCGTAATACACACTTTTCGCCTTGTTTTCGTCATTGCAATCAAACGCTTTTTCCACAAAGTGCTTTTTTTCAGCACCATCCAAATGGTCCACATCTGTGTCACTAAAAGAATGAGCCATCTCCACCTCCCGTGGCTCCACGTCCATCTCCTTCTTCTCCGGGTCCAAATCTTCCGTATCCATTGAGCTCGTCACTGATCCTGACTCCTCCAACGACGTCATCGAAGGCGCGTAGTCCTCGTCTTCGTCGTCGCTGTATGGCGACCGCATCGGGTACGAGAACGAGTCCCTGGGACTCGATAGCATCTCGTCACAGGATGACAACTGACAGTCGTTCTCGTCAGTAAATAGAGCGTCTGCGACACTTTTCTCCCCGTCGGAACTTCGTGGGCTTTTGACGACCCTCATCGGAGCGCTGAATGCTTTTCCTTGAAGTCGATCGGTGAGGATTGATTCGTTGGCTTTCAGCTACGGGAAGTAGTGGCGACCTGGGTTTAGCAGTGGCTCGCTTGTTTTATGTGATCATGCCGTTTTTGTAAAAGAGAGTGACTACGGCTGGGCACTGAAAAAGCAGTTTTGGCACAACCACTTTTCAACAACAGTGTTTTCTTTGTGTAACAGCTTAGCACTTGCTTTTCTTTCGCCCGCAGGTACTTCTCTTGCCTGTTAACGACGAAGATCGTCGCTTGGTCGTCTTTTGAACGTCTTGCGGATCTTCATTTTTCTCGCTCTCAAGAGCATCTGCAGCCGTTTTCCACGCCACATCTTCCACTGCTTCGACATCGACGTCGCCTTGGTGTCGCACACGACCCATTTCCGTGCCGTGCTGGTTGTCCCAGTCCTTGAGCTTGGCGTCCATCATATAGTCGTCCTGCACGACAGCCCACGAGGTCTTGGCCACCGACTTGTCTGCTGTCTTTTGCTGCGACGCCTGGAGCAATCCAAGGAAGTTCTCCTTGGACATGTCCTTGACCTTGTGGTCGTGCTTGTCCTCTTTCTTGCCATTCAACTGCTGGTGTTTCTCGATCGCATTGAACAAAGCCACGACTAGAACAACAATGAAAGAACCATTGACAAGTGTGTCAGTCGAGAAAAAGAATCGACTGCTTCCTCCAGCGACCCTAGCAACCCCTCTCTCTATCCCCGTTTCTCACCTCCTTTTGTTGCAACCATACGAAGCGTACGGTCCTTCACAGCCGTCGTATGGTCAGGCACCGCCATGTCCTTCTGCTCACGCTCACGCTTCTCGGCTGCACTGAGTCGCACGGTCTTGACCTCCTTCCTGTCGCTTTGGATCTCTCGCATCCGCGCGGTCGTGCGCCTGGCGAGAATCGGCTGGACGTCTTCCGCTATATTTTGGCCCAGGATTTTGCTCATGGCATCGCCAAATCCTACGGCCTCGTGTGGCTCGTCGCCTTCCTCGTCGTCAGTCGAGCCCTGGAGCGCTGCTGCGCCTTCATCTTCTTCGCCCTCGTCTTCGTCGTTGGAATTTTCTTCATCCTGCTGCTCAGATTCAGCCTCAAACGTATCTGTAACATTAGCATGACGGGTCGACTTGACTTCAGTCGGCTGCTTATTCGTCGACAGCTCCTCGACCATCGACATCTCGGACATTTATTGCGTAATTATTGATCCGATCGTGGACGGAATGTCGTGACCAATCGATTTGAGATGTACAGAGAAGCGTGTCTAGAATATTAGAGTGGAAGTGCACTTTTTATTTACTTTTTAATGTGATAAGGCATAAGTTTTGGCAGATTTCCCTTGTATTTTAGTAGGTAAATTCACCGGGCAGATGTTTACATGTGTTCGCTTCATATGTTGTTAGCTGCGTAATACAGCTTTTGTTTTGCATCGGTAATTTTTTTTGGATGGTGTGGAGCAAGTTGAGTGCGGTACGATTGGGCCCAGTGGTTTGATACGGAGACACCAACAGTCGAACACAACATTATGCCTAAAGACGGAAAGTAAACAATTGCGAGTCCGAAGGGTGAAGCTGTTAGTGACTGCGCGCGAGGTAAATGCCGAACATTTTAAATCGTACTTGTCTGTCTGTCTGCCTGTTTGGAGATAGCACGGCTTGGTGTACCTTATCCGAACTAAGTGCGATCTAGCCTGACCCCTTTCATCGGTATGCAGACATACCCGAAGTCACACTTTGGCTTAGTCACAATTATGACCCACGTACACGATTGGCTTAAAATCCATCAAAGGTGAATATGATCACATATGCAAATGCTGAACGCTCATAAGCAACGACCAATCGCGTTGCCGAAGTACAGCGTACTGGATTGATACAGACGCTAACACAATCAAATAATTTTGAGTGACTGCAGTTGAATATTATTTTGCAACTTGTTCTGGTTCTATAAACTAAATTACTATAATATAAGGCAAGCTCCAGAGCTTGCTACCCTTTCTTATAAGCGGTATTCTATCAGCTGTTGGTGCATATTGCTCCCATTTTTTTCCACCTGAACCGAGCCACAAATGTCCTTTCATCATGTGTATGAGATGGAAGGTCATTGTTGCGTAAGTTCCACTACACTTAACGCAAACGTTTGTACAACAACTGTTAGCGGAGAGATTAAATACTTGGGATATACCTCAGCGGCTTCATGTGGCGCGGCGCGGGCGCGACTGAGGACTAAGACCCTCAATTTTATATAACTCCGATGTTCACCTCTATTTACAATTTCCATTACATAAATAGAGGTCGTCAATCTATTCTTACATGCTTGACGAAGCGTCCGCTCTCTAGCCTTTCTCGCGCCAGAGTACCTTATACTCAGCAGTCGAATCTTTGCTGCTAATTGTTGTTAGTATCTTAGTAGTTATTGACTCTTGCAAACTGAGAAATATTTGAATTTGTTAATTACTACCACTGGCACACATTGATTCCTCTGTCCGCATTGGCGTCTTCCCATGGATCTAGTGTCATTATCTGCTCACTACAACGTATAAGTGGGTCCAATTGACATCCATCCCGACCGTGCTGTACAACTCATCATGAACCTCGCCCTTTGTCGCCTGATTTTTGCATCTTAGCTCCTCGAATATTTGACGCGGTCGTGGCTTGGTTACGATGTCTGCAAGCTGTTTCTTACTTTCATAACAAGGTAAACTCACGCGTCTTTTGCTCGTTTCATAATTGATGAAAGGATAAATTAGCGTGATGCGCTTTAATCCGATGACGCAACTCCTTTTTACAACATTCGTATCGCGCTCTAATATTCTACCATAATACTCGGAACAACATCGAATCCAAGCAGCTCATTAAAAAGTTTTCTTATCTTTCCACATTCTGACACACTCGTCGCACCAGCAATTAATTCTACTTCCATATTGAACATTGCAACAACGCTTGCTTTTTTAAACTCCATGCTAACGACCGTCCATTTACTGTAACGGGGCACCCTGAAGCTTGTACTGGTGACAGTACAAGCTACTTATTCTGACGACAGAATAAGGCGGTGCCTCGGAACTTCACGTACACTGGTACGTGCAGAGGAAGACGGTAAGAAGAAGCGAGTACTTGGTTAAAGTAAAAAGTAGAACTGTATTTAGCATAGTTAATGTCTGCAATAAATCACTTTTTATCTTCATCTAACTATGTCTGAATACAAATGTGTATATTAACTATCTGCTCACCACTCATTGCGTGCGTCTGTCGTGGCGCGTCTTCGTTGGTTGATATAATGGCCTACATCAACCAATTAGGAACTAGTCGTAAGTGCTACAGAATATTTGTCCTTATGACAATATTCTGAGAATATAACTCTTATAGTTATATTCTATTAACAATTTCTTATAAATTGTTATGTAACGATTCACCCCATTACATCACACCTTCCTTAACCATCATTCACTTTAATGACTGATTGACTAAATGGATACTCGTCCCAAATCATTTGGGACGGGGTTTGCACTTGTTGGTCCGCGTCCACTTTCCAACATTCCATCGCATGGTAAACAAGCCCATGCGATGCGCGAGCAAGGCCGCCGAGAGCGCGTCTGCACGTCTCTGTGCGGACGCCGAAGCAGAAACAACAGCAACTGATGTCCCATCGGTTGCTGAAGCGACCCAGCCTGTGTCACTTGGTGATGCAGGCGCTGGTCATGAAGACACTCATGTCTTCACAGAGTACGAGCTCGGTGTCTCGTACTCTCCTGATACGGAAGACGGATCCGTATCGACGGCGATTGAATCCAAGCCGCCTGCCAAGCGTGGCATGGATGATGCTATGTGTCGCAGCATCTTTGGTTCATCAGATGAATCCGATGAACCATCGCCGAAGCGTAGGCGCTCGAGATCGCGAGACTCGGGCGCTAACAGTGGTGTCGGTTCTCCTATGGACACCACTTCGCAACGAGGTGCCAGTACTTCTGTCGGCACATCGCAGGAAGAGCGGGATCGCAATGTCTTGCGTCTCGCTCCTGAGAAGAAGGCATGGATGCCTCCCAAATCTGTCATGGATCACTTGTCGGTGACGACGAGGGATCGTTATCGAACACGATTGTTCGATTCGTCAAGGATCCATCACCTTGACCCCAGCGCGAAAAACTATCGCGCTGTAAATGAATTCTTCATCGATGCTTTCTTTAGACATCGATGGTACAGTGGGAATCACAAGCGTGATGGTCCCTCACTACTTCAAGCGTGGAACGCCTACATCCATAACCTTGAGGATGTAGGTCGTGACGCTAGGAACGACAAACTTATCAAAGCTCGTGATAAGTTTGAAAAGCGAACCCCGACAGGTGCACGCTACAAGCTGCATCGTCTGTCAAGGGAGAAAGGATTACCCTGCCTCTCTTGGGGAGACTCGTGCCCATGTTGTGTGAACAACTCTGCACGAGCACCTAAAGAGGCTCACCTCCTTACCAGCCCGTGGTGGCGCGTACGTGTTTCTACTGAGTTGTACGAAGGGATTGACAACCTGAAATCCCTTCACGACCGTGCCGGGAAGACTTTCTCCGGCGGTCCTTCTGCGGCACAGGATGTGCCGCGTCGTACTGCTCAACCAGAACCAGTACGTCGATCATCAGTTGGGAGCGGGGCTCCCAAGAATCCCAGGACGGGGGATAGCCGCGCCACCGGACGAGATAACTCGTCCGACGTCCGTTCACGTCGCGGTGGTTCAACAGCTGCTCAACTAGATAGCGCTGGCCACCGCGAGAGTCCTCTAATGGAGGTTGAGGAGGAGGAAAGACGCTCTCCACACGATCATGTGGATCGATGTGTACCCGAGGGCTTCTTTGATCGCGTAACGCAAGGGTTACGCGACGATCTCGAACATGAGCGGAATAGGCGTCTCCAACGGGCGGACACTGTCTTGAAGCATCGAGCTGAGTTTGCCTTTGCTCAGCTCGAGAACGAGAGAGCTCTGACATCTCTTCGTGACGAGCTAAGGGTAGCTCGTGGGATTGCTGATCGGTCTCGGGATGAGATAGCTGCTCTTCAGACCCTTGTTGATGCCCACCATCGGGAGCACAAGGCTCTCTGCGAGATGCTTGAGCGCAAGGGCGTTCTTCATCGGAAGAAGCAGCGTACTGATGGTACGGCTTAAACCGACCAACGTAAAACTTGGGATGCGTTCGCATCTTACGTGGTAACTCGATCGTGTATGCATTGCCTAGGCGGTGCAATACACGAAATGGGCCAATGTACTTGGGTAGTAGTTTACTGCTACCCAAGTTAGTCACTACATGCTTTGGTAGGTTAACCGTAGACAGTAGGACTAAGTCACCTTTATTTAATAAAAGAGTGCTTGCCCTTCCATTCTTGTCAGCGTTTTGCTTTTGCTTATCCACCGCTTCGGCTATGGAATCTTGCACAAAACGGACTACCGTTTCACGAGCCAGTATGAACTCATCTGATGACTCGTTAGCTTCAGTGTGCTGTGAGCGCACTGCAGCAACATCAACCTTTTCTTCAGTGAGGGCTTCCGCACTCTCACTGGCATCATCTCCTTCAGTGAGGGCTTCCGCGCTCTCACTGGCATCATCTTCTTCGATATCGATGTTATCGATATTGGCATCAAACGCAATGACCTCTTCGTCAGAGCGTGATGAGCGTGAACCAATTCGGTTTTTGCTCGCGCGAGTCCCTCCCCCCTTAAACAAGAGTTACACTCTAGTAAGGTGGGTACACGAGGATTGCGCAAGCCATTCACGTAAAACGGTGTATGTGTCGTGGACGCATGCACGGAGTTGTTAATGGCAAACTCTACCAGTGGCAAGAACTCACTCCAACCCTTAAAGGAGTGTACGTATCCTCGAAGTATCTCTTCGAGGACACGATTGGCTCGTTCCGTATGACTATCTGACTCTGGATGATCAGATGTCGACATCTTCAAGCGCGTTCCGAGTGATTTGAACACAGAACGCGAGAAATCAGCAGTGAATCGTGGATCTCTGTCTGATACGAGTTCACGGGGCAACCCATGAAGTTGGAAGATGGTGTCAATAAAGACACTAGCACAGCCACTTGCTGTGATTGTCTCTGGTACAGCCACAAGGTGTACCATTTTGCTGAATCTGTCAACAAATACGAGAATACCAGTATTCCCGCGTGCGTCTTCGGGTAACCCGAAGACGAAATC